TGGCTGCTGTAGCAGCCCGAACGGCTGCGAAGATGCGCGTGTATGGCTTAAGTCCAACGAAGGAATGCGTGAATGTGTTGGCAGGAACTGTAACATTGGTCTCCCAGGGGCTCGCCTCCTTGGTCCTCAAGAAAACTGTGTAGTTGGCGATGTCGCCGTTTGGTTTGGCTGGAGCCTGCCATGAAATTGTCACCTGTTCAGAGCTGTCGACTTGAAGTTGAACGTTCGTGGGAACACTTGGAGCTACAGACAGGCGGTACGAGCAGCATTAACAAGACGCCATATTGATGATTGTCCATGTATGGAAATTGCGCACTATAAAATTGCTTTTGTAATCAAAGAACTGTGCCTTAAATGCCTATCCGAAGTGTTAACACCTTCGGTTTGCGCATGGGCAGTAATTGACAGCACAACATGCTAGGCGATGAAGAAGCCCAGCAAGCTTGTTAACAACCAATTTGTGGTGTCGATGCAGAGGTCTTCGAAAGTGTGCATCCGTTGAAATATTTTAAGTAAATGAGGCACCATAATGGGAACAACCACAAATACACTAAGTACATCATCTCAGTTCAACGCTGAGACATTGTGATGCAGGTGGACACAACTCATTTGACAAATGACAAACGATAGAATTAAAACCTGCTTTACCCACCAGCAGACAACGTTGAGGCAATTCGAGGATAGGAATATTGGCTGTAGCCTCCGCCATGTCCCTCCTCGTTTGGCAGCACATAACCACGAACAGTGACTTCGTAGCGCTTGTTTGGCTCCAAGTCAGTGATCTTGTACGATCGCGAGTCTGCGGTTACGTTGGCCACATGCCGCCACTCTGGCTTGTTGGCGGAGCCTTGAACGTAGGGTCTAGTGGAGATTGTGAAGCCCCCAAGAGTTCCTTCCACATTCTCCGGTTTGTACCAGGACACCTCTAGCGAGTTTGCGTTCACTGCCACCAACTCTTTTACGATTAATCCTTGTAAGGCTAAAATGTGAAAAGCTAGACTAACATGGGCCTGATGTGTCTTTGCCAGCTTACTACGTCTCTTAAGGTTAACGGCAAATTAATAATAGTCAGGGCAATTCGTGCTCTTGGGAAATCTTAAAATTATTAGGCAATAAGCCAGCTTCATATTACGAAAATCAAAATCACACAATGCGCAGTTTTGATACGCGTGTTCAATGTCATGTCAGTCTGAATAACGAACTCATGATTACAACGAGGTTTCTTCGCTTTTATTTGTATCATGGGCCGCTGACAATGTAAGTCCGGAGACTATTTATCTGCACTGACGTCGAATGATGTTTCACACCGTTGAATGCATCAAGAGAACACGCATACACAGACCTCCACGTCGAGGCGATTTTCGTGTTGCTTCTTGCCTCACGCAGCGCTGGACTGCTGGAGCCGTCTTTCATCATGAAGCAGATCATGCTCTCAAGGAGATTATGGACGCTAAATGAAGGCTTGTCTTGTCTGCACGTATTAACACAAACTCAATGCATCCCGCAGATATCAACGTCCCAATTTTACTGAGCCTTCACAGGCTCCATGAGAAAGAGACGATTTTGAACTCTAGAATTTAACTGCGCTCGGTACTGGAACAAATTGCACCCTCCTGTTAATAAAAGTGTGGTTTAGAAAACAGCACGTACTTCCAGGCCATGTTGTGACGACAGTCGACCTCGTTGACGTACTGGTGAGAGACTCGCCCCATTGAGTGATCAGTGGGGTTGTGCTTGCTTCAACGTAACACTCGTAGTTTGTGTTCGGTCGCAGTCCCCTTACTTCGA